TCTTTCCACAGATGTAGTCAATTTGATTTCTATGTATTCCATCTGGTGAGGTCCATTTGTATAGTTATCTCATATGCTGTCTAAAGATGGTATTTTAAATGAAAAAATCATCGGTTTTGCAAAATTCTTTCAAGTGTTCTCCAGCATCATTTCTATCACCAAGATCATATTTTCCAACGACTGATCCTTCCTCTTTGCTCCCAACCTTTGCATTCCAGTCACTAGTAATAATCAATACATCTTGATTGCATGTTTGATCCATTTCAGTTTGAAGAAGTTGGTAGAATTCTTCTGTTTCATCTTTACTGGCTTTAGTCGTGGTTGTGTAAATTTGAATAATAGTGGTATTAACTTGGCTTCCCTGTGGGTACATGGATATTATCCTCTCATAGACAGTGTTGTACCTCATGACTGATCTGGATATGTTCTTTCAGACGATGAATGCAACACCATTCCTCTTCAATTTGTCATTCCCATCATAGTAAACCATGTGCTTATCAGATTCAAAACAGCCAATACCAGTCCATTTCAGCTCACTAATGCCTAAGATATCTATGTTTATGCGTTCCATTTCATTTTTGATGACTTCCAATTTTTTTGGATTCATACTTCCTACATTCCATGTTCCGATTTTCAGTGGATGTTTACAACTGTTCCTCTTCATTTTGAGTTGTGCCCCATCAGCAAATGAAGGTCCTGCGGGCTTTTCTCCCATGGGCTTTACTCCATTCACGTCATCACTGTCAAGTCTACTTTGAGGAGGCAACTCTTCCTCATTCGCATTTGGAGTGTCTTCCACCTGAGGGGCTTATTTTCCAGCACTATATCTGACAGTGTTTCCATGCTATTCATAAGGTTGTCAGTGACTAAATATTCAGAAGTAGTTTGTCACTCTTTCTTCCTAGTCTGTCTTTATCTGGAAGCTCATCTGAAACCTGTCCACCAAGGGTGACCCTGCTGGTATTTAAAATACCATTGCCATAGCTTTCAGAATCACAGCAACTCAAAAGCCATCACAGTACAACAGACTGATTA